CAGTGAGACTAATGCCATTGCTGTACTCTGATTTCAGAAGGGAAAGACGTTATTTCTAATGTTCCAAAGGTTACATTGCATTAAGACCTCACTCCCAATCTATTATTTTAAATTGGGCTAAAGAATAGCAATTGAGTGGTACATTAAATTCTCCAGTAGTGGAGCAGTTCAAGTTGCCTGCTGTACAGATAGATACCTCTAAATAAGCATATATGGGCAACTGCAGATTTCAGTTATGCTAGATTTATTTTTCTTAAATATTTCATTATAGACTTGTTAAAAAATTAGAATTCTACAAGAGATCACAAACTAAGACAGTTTAGGTAACAGCTTACTAGAAACTTGCTTTAACCTATTAGTATCTTTTTATAAATCAAATATAGCTTACAGAGCCAACCAAATTTCAACAGTATTAATTATCAATGACAAACTTCAATCTTGTACTACTCCTAGTTAAATCCAGCCTACACTTTACAAATGCAATGAAATATTTAAAGGCACATTGTTCTATTCTTTCAAGTCTTTCTTATTATATTAAGCTTTTAGAGCAACATTTTTAGGAAAAAAAAATAAAACAAAGCTTAATTTAAAAAACAGTGATAACAGAAGAGATGAAATATCTAATGAGACTCTCCTTTTTAACCAGGTGGCTAGCTTACTATGCAAATACTGTATATATTAAACACAGTTTTGTGCAAGAAGAATCAATATCAATTAAAGACTTTTTGAATCAAATCCTGAGTGGAAGCGATTTTAATGAAAAGTACATGTGGAACTGATGAACCCAACGTTTCCGTGTCACTGGATTTGTTTGGGGTCAAAATCATATAAAATTTTCAGATTTCTTTTTCCTCTAAGTCTCCTAGTCCTCAACCATGTAATATCAAGCACTTGATCTGGATGCCATTGTTTCCAGGGCATTCAAAACAGCAAACAAGAAGTGAAGCCACTTCTAGACCTTCATTGCTTTTGCCAGTATAGCATAAGTAGGGACCTTGAATCAACAAAAATGCAGGAAATAATACTTTCATTATGCAGCCCTGCTCTGCATTAGCCTCAAAGGCAAGCAGGATTGTAAATTACGTTGCCTGATGTTTTATTCTATATGCCCTGAGCAAGTGGTTAAGTGCACTTTTCAAGCTTTAGTACCAGAAGGCAGTTTCTACAGCCATTTTAACCCATTACTTGTCTGGAGGAGAAAAAAAGAAGAAGAGAGAGAAAAAAAAAAAAAAAAAAAGGCAAGAAAAATACGATCCTGGTTGCTTACTACAGTCAGAGGAAGGCAGGCATCTGCAAAGATTTTTCAGGTCACTCTGCAAGCAACACAATCCAAAAGCTATTGTACTTCAGCTCTAACCTTATTAGGCAACACACCACACTGAAGTAGATCTTAAAAACACCAATACTAGGTTACCTATTTTCATCATAAAAAGACTAAATGGCTACTAGAAAAATATAGAAAATTATATCTAATTTTCTACATTCACATCTATCAGTTCTTAAATTTTACTTGTAATTAAAAATAGGAAAAGGGATGTTAATAATGTAAAATATCAGACTGTTGGCAAGAAGGGAAGGCACACAAAAAAGGAGTAAAAGTGCTTCTTTTTGTTTTCAAATGGTAAAACTTTTCAAGGACTCCTCCATTATTTAAACCTCCAACACAAAATTTATTTAGAAAAAGGATCTGCACTGATGACTGCCTCCCTCCAATATAGTGTTTTTTTTTTTTTTATTTTATTTTAAATGTGCTTTTTATTGAAACTAAATACTGGATTCAAATTCAGTATACAGTGTATATGGATACAACGTCCCAAAGGTCACATATTCAAAAACAGAAAGAGGTTCTCCCATTATATAGAGATTAGAGTAAATAAATCATCAAATTAAGAGAAACACTCGTTATTATAGATGCATTATTAAAGCCTGTGGTAGAACAGAAAAATAAATGTAGCTAGAATCTGAAGCTTTCAGAACTGAAATACATGTTAACTATAAAGTTCACGCCTTGTACCACCTTCCCAAAATTGAGGAAAAGGAGAATGTAAAACAAGAAAGCAAAATGTCTCTCCTAGGAGGTCATATCATAAAACTAGTAAAAAGTAGAGTTTACATAAAAATAGTTAAGAGGAGCTTAAATTTGTTATTGTTGGATGAACAAATTGGGAGGTTTTTTTTTGACATTCATTCTTCTATCACATATTCGAGTGATAAGACTCCCACCTAAAATTTCATTTCCCCAGTAATTAATTGTTTTTAATTGCTTTCATCAGTAATGTTTTTCTTTCCATGTATTAGTCTTCCAAAATGTGTTAAGTGCATCTATTTTACTTTTTCTCTAAACATGCAACTCCCTTTTCTGCTTTAAGCCCACCCGAAATGTTCCTCATCTCTAAATTAGACAGCACTTCAGATTTAGTTCATTTTCTAACATTCCAGAAGAAAGTAGAAATACCTCTTTAAGGAAAAAGAGGGGATGCCAGTATTCGCCATACAGCAGAAGAAAAAAATTGCTTATTAGTTCTATAGAGATAAGAAAAACCATACCAGAATTACAAAATTCCCATCACAAAAAACAATCACTACAGGGTACAAGGCATTATCATAAATTATTTTTCTAAAAAGAAGAGGGAGAAACTAATTGGGAGCCTAATGCAGCTTGTTTATTTGAGAAAATGCACAAACAGACCAGTATCAAGACATTTCAGAGCTAATTCTTGTTAGGCTGATTTAGCTTCACTCATTCCTAAAATAAATTAAGATAAATCAAATAAGGTATGCTTCACATCTAAACAAAAATGTCTCATATGTGAATCCAGTTTAATCAAGCTAGCCTAACCAATCCCCTTTTAAACTTAATTCAGATTAAAACTGCAAGTTTTGCCACTTAGACAAACTCTGGCACGTAGGTGCTCTGGAAGAGAGATATTTTCCTATGAATTTGTATAGTATCAAACAGTGATGCTGAAACCATCACGTGCAATTTTAATTTTGTGAGATGTTGCAGTTTGAAAGCCGTAGTGGTGGGGGAGGAGGAGATATCAAATCAGTATCGGATTCACGAACCGTCTGTGGACCGTCCTTCCTAGGAGCAAATCGAGTTCCCAAATAGTGTGATCAACTGGCAGTATCGGATTCATGAACAGTCCGTCAACTGTAGGTCTGATCGCCTCCCTCCAAACAAGTAGTCGAGTTCACAAACAGTATGATTTATTCGAATGCAACATTTACAAAGCAGGTTTCAGATGTCAGTACAGGAAATTCTCTACTACAGCGTGGGGTTTTTAGCTAGCTCTGATGTACAAATGTGCAATCATCACTCACCCCAGAAGATGGGAGAGGGCTCTCAGTCTCGAGTCTCCTCAGGCGGCGATCCAGTCCAAGGGGAGGAAAGGGGGATCAGCGCATCGACTGACCCAAGAGTTACGATGGATTCTTCCCTCTCACTTCTTAGTCTCCTCAGGTGGCGTTCCAGTCGGAGGGGAGGAAAGGGGGTTCAGTCCGTCAACTGACCCAGGAGTTATGATGGTTTCTTCCCCCCACCTTTTCATCCTTAGTTCACCTTTTATACTTTTCTTTACATTCAGGTGGAGCTTGAGTG